CTCAAAACCTGAACCCTAAACCCCTAAACCTAAACCCTGAAAACAAATCAAACAGCGGTATTTTCGAGCGCCATCGCATGAAGCCCGGAGAAGACGCAAGGCGGGGATTGCACGCAGCAGCTCTTAGGAGTAGGGCGGCGGAAGACAGTCTTAGGGTTTCAGACTTACCTTAAGAACCCAAAACCAACTTTTTTGTAGGGTCCCTCTAAATCCCATATTAGGGTTTATAACAAGAACCTACAAAAAGTTGGGTTTTGGGTTCTTAAGGTAGGGGCCAGAGTGAGGGTTTTGAGTTCAGGGTGTGGGGTGTCGAGCTTTTTTAACTGACTACGCCCTTTCTTGCCCTGTCCGGGTCTAGAGTGCTTATTGCTACTACCGCCATATGGAACCCCAAACTATGCAGGTGCCAATGCTTGCAGTGGAGCCGAATCAAAATTCCGCATATTTCACACCAATAGGACCCTATGCACACCCCGAACCCCACACCCTTCTAGATCCCTTAAACTTACCTTTGCAGTAACCCTTCGACCCAAAACAGGCAGTCATTGGAAAAGGAGTCTCTGGCTGGTTTTCTCGAACCACACTTCCATCTCCTTACACACTCCAGCGCCTGCACGTTCGCATAGGTTCGGGGGTTGTTTAGGGTTTCGGATTTGGGATTAAGGTTTAGGTTTTTGATGTATTTTAGGGTTTTCCTGCCTTTCATGTAGAGAACCGTCACAGACAGTGTCTTACAGGAAGGTGTTCTCAGTCATCTCTCTGCCCTCCCAAGTTTATGTTGCAGGCTATGGGTATTCAGGGCGGCTACGGATCCTACCACGTAGGGGTCGACTCTGGTGCCGTTCATTCTCGGAAACCCTCAGACATATCTTCTCAGACTTCGGATTTTCGAAGCCTCACCCCGCGGCAGCACTTGCTGGGAACTCCGGAAAGTTGGAACGTGGATCAAGGATGACGGTTTAGGGCTTAGGGTTTATGTAGGGTTCTGATCTATGCGCCTGCTTTCAATGAATGAAGATAACAAGGTTCTGGAGTAGATTTTGGTCAAGCTGCACTAGGGGGTATACTATTGCCAAGGATGGTGCCAGAGACCTCGTTCTTTGCGTCAGTGGCTTTTCGGGATCGTGATGCTCCAACTTTCCTGTATTTTCCCCTAAGCCCTAAACCCCTAAACCCTATTTTTTCGGAATGACATTAAAACGCGAACTCACGGTTCAGGACTTCCAAAGCCTACGCTTGAACTAACTTCACCACAGTAATACAGGGGCCTTGATAATTAGAATAGGGTTTTGGGGCTCCTTTATAGGGTTCCTCAAAGGGTTCTATAAGAGGCTACTATAGGCCTTACTAGTTAGAATAGGGTTTGGGGTGTATATTATACTATCATTGCAACAAGGAGCCCCGACACTACAGTAGTATAGTACATACTCAGGCCCCTATACTACCAACGCAGCATGGAAGGCTTGCGCTCCAAGGTGCAGGGTGCGAACAGAGGCAACAGGAAAATGCAGGTGACATGAGAAGTGTTAGGGTTTAGGGTTTAGGGTTTAGGGGTATCTCTTTGATCAAGTTTTACCTCCAATCCCCGGAAATCCTAGCACACCCTCTAAACCGTAAACACTAGCATGCGATGCCAAAAATCTGCACCTAAATTCAAAAGCTCCAACCGCTGAACCACATAAACCTTCCCACAGGCCTCTGCAGATTGCTCCCCATAAAGACTAAGCCCATTTCTGGGCCTCAGATTCTACATCCTCTCCCTTTCGAGGCTACATATCCCCTGTCCCCTATAGGGTTATCAGCACTCTTTGTGGCAACGGCTTAGAATTTGGGAGTATCATCCGTATAGCCATACTTCTTCCTAGCTTCTCTCCCACTTCATGCACTCTGGACCCTAATGTAGGGGCCTTATGAAAAATAGAATAGGGTTTCGGGGTACATTATAATACGGAACCCCTAAAATAGTATAGGTAAATATTAAAATTAAAGCCCATATATTACTCAGGGGTGGTTCTGTTGTTGACAGAAGGAAACGAGCCTCAGCCTCAACAAGGACTTTGAGGAGAACGCTAAACAGACCCTTGAATCAGGCGGTGTAGGTTTTAGGGCTTGACGGTTGAGGGCTCATCCCCTCTAAGGCTTGGGTGACGCAAAAGGCCAACCAGAAAATACACAATTGCTCCTGAACCATGGTCTCAAGACCCGAGAAGAATGTACAAATGCTCGGGCCGCTCGGGTACTTGCGCTAATTCGGTGGACGGAAGACCTTGTACTTCCACAGTTTTTGCTAATGAATGAAGGCTTTCCAATATATACACGTACCTGAACGCAAAACCCTGAAGCTTAAACCCAAACCCTCTGCAAGATAGAACCTGCCCAGGTCCCTTTTCTGGTTATTTCGGCCACTATATTACACACTCTGAGCTTGGTTTCTTGCTTCCCCAATAAGCCTGGGAAATACAAGGTTAAGCTTTCTGGTAACTTCTAAATTATAAGAACCCAAAAAGTTTAAAGGTTGGGTACTGGGGAAGCAAGATTACACACTCTGAGCTTGGTTTATGTAATATCCGTGCCTGAGCTGTGCCGGCGTTTCGCTTTGCGAATCCTGGCTGAAGTAGCCCAAACCTTGGACTTTACAGGGCACTTAGGGTTATAGGGTTTAGGGTTGAAGGTTTAGGGTAGAGGGTTTAGGGCTTATAGGGTTTGTCGGGACTGGGGTCCAGGGGTGAGGGTTCGGTGTTTAGGGCCTTGAGTCTTGTAGCAGGTTGATCGACTGTGGCTACTTTTGCGGGAAAGGCCCGGGTCAAAAAGAGCTTGGTTTAGGGGTCAGGGTTTATGTTCTTCGTGGTTGTGCCTCGGTGTAGGGCTTTGGATTTGCGCCTAACCTACCTTATCAGCATGTGTTCCTGCCGTGGCTGGTGGTGTTACAAGAATTGGAAGCGCCATTTTACGCATGGAGCCTCAGGCAGAAATTCACAAATCCTTGACAAGGAAAATTATCCCAAAAAGCTTGGCACACATGGAATTCTGGGATTCAAGGTTTCAAGGCTCCCCACGTTTTTTGCTCAACACCGGTAGGAACCCCCTGCTGCCACAGAGGACTATCGGAGCTGCGTGGTCGGTAGTCACCCGAAGATCTAGGACTTGTGAAAAACCAGAAATGTAGGGGCCTTAATCATTAGAATAGGGTTTTGGGGGTTCCTTTCAAAGGCTTCCTTAAACGGTTCTATACGGGCTACTATAAGGGTTTAGGGTGTAGGGGCCTTAATAATTAATAGGGGTTTGGGGGTTCCTTATTAGAATTATAGTACTGTACAAAATACACTCCAAACCCTATTCTAATTATTAAGGCCCCTATGTTATTCTGCAGGGACAACACCACTTAGACCTCAACCCGACTGTTTTGAGGTGCATCGCTAGAATTTCCCCAGCAAAGTAACAACCCGACCAAAAAACCTAATATCCCTGCACTCCAATCCATAAGCCCGACACCCTATACCCGAAAACCTATAACCCAAATCCCAGACGCTAAGCCTAAACCCTGAAACGCTCAACCCTAAACCCTACAAACCCCACAAACCCTACAAACCCTACAAACCCTACAAACCCTACAAGCCCTACAAACCCTACAAACCCTACAAACCCTAAACCCTACCTACAAACCCTAAACCCTCTAACCCATCAAACCCTAAACCCTCTAAACCCTATAAACCTTAAACCCTAAGCCCTAAACCCTAAACCCTGCAAACCGAGTGGCCTCCCCAAGTTACAACCCGACCATCCCTGCGGAGCGCTGCAAACGCCGTCGACGAAGCCTGGATCTGAGTCACGCCTTGTAGCAAAGGTCGCCTGGAACCTCGGAGTAGGGTTCAGGGTTTTAGGGTTCAGAGTTCAGGGTTTACTTTAGGGTTTAGTATACGGTTTAGTTTGGGGTTTAGTTTGGGGTTTCGTTTGGGGTTTAGTTCGGGTTTAGTTCACGGCTTAGTTTGGGGTATAGTTCAGGGTTTAGTTTAGGGTTTAGGGTTCAGGGGTTTAGGGTCTTGGGTCTAGGGTTCAGGTCGAGGGTTTAGGGCTTGAAGGCTTTAGGGTTTAAGGCGTGGGGCCACAGGAAGGTGGGGGTTCTTCGGTTTTTCGGACTTAATGCTCGGGTGTTCAGGGTAGGGTTTAGGGTTTCGGGTTTAGGGTTTGGGGTTTAGGGTTTGGGGGCTTTCGGGTTACTAGTCTCTTGGCTTCACGCTTCACGGCTGAAAACCTGATGTACAACGGTTTCGATGTACAAGTTGACCCTATATAATGATGCAACTAGGGCAGAATGTTGGCCTCAACCGCTAAGCCCAACGCAAATCCCGTGATCCTGAACTCATCTGAGCCGTGATGACGCAACATAACAGAGAACAAGTCTAAGTGGCTGCTATCACCACCAGCACCCGGGCTCCCCCATGTCACGACAGAGCCGTCGCCCAGCAAAGCAGCAAATGCAGCAGTAGTTGCCTGCCAGGGCATACTGCTATTGGCTTAAGAAGCCCTAAACCCTAACCCTAAACCCTAAACCCTAAACCCTAAGGTTTGGGGCTAAGAACTTCTTCAAGATCAGCGTTCAGGGGCACTGCAGGAATCGAAACACCAAAGGAAAGGCTGTCGGTTGGGGTTTAGGGTTTAGGGTTTGGGTTGCCGTGAGATACCAAAACCCGGAGCCCGGACACCCGAAAGCCATAGTTTGTTGGAAATAGACAGGAAGCAAATTCGGTCGGTACCTCCGAGCACCACTGTGGCAGGAACTCCAAACACTGGATTTCAACGGCATAACTATCATTACTCATTCGGCTTTCGTAACAGATGTACTTATAACAGAGCATAAAGCCATCCTGTGTGTAGCCTGATAGGCTTCCCCATTGCGATGCCCCGGCCTGGATCTGCTGTACATTCCTCAGCTCGTCTTGTACAGTGCTGCTGTCTCCTCCATGTCGCTGCTGCCCCCAAGTCACCACAGATCCGTCATATAGCAGAGCAGCAAACGAAGTCTGTGTCGCCTGCACCTGCAGAACGGAGCGAAGCTTGCTTTGCACTGAAGAGCTGTCGCCGCCTGCGCGTGCGTCACCCCAGGTCACCTTGGAAAACCGAACAGCAGTACACATGCATTGGTGTGTGCAGATTCAAGATTCTGATGTTTTGTGGGTTCTGCTGATTAATGTTGATGGGCCAATCCAGCTGTCGTGTCACCATAGATCCATCGATGAGCAAGGCGGCAAAAGCAGAACTGCTAGCCTGGATTTGATGCACGTTGTTGAGGCGGCCCTCTATGGCAGAACTGTCGGCGCCATGGTTGGCGTGACCCCAGGTTGTGACAGACCCATCCTCGGAAATAGCGGCGAAGGCATGCAACGTGGACTGGACATCCTTCACCTTCTTGAGCCGGTGCTGGACTGCAGAACTGTCGCCCCCGGCTTCCTGGCGGCCCCACGTCACGACGGAGCCGTTTCGCAGGATTGCGGCAAAAGCGCTCTGTGTCGATTGAATGCTGTGCACATCCCTCAGCTGTGCATCTACTGCAGAACTGTCGCCACCACCATTGCTGCTGCCCCAGGTAACAACTGAGGAATCATCCAAAATGGCAGCAAAGGCACACTGAGTCGACTGGATGTGCAGCACATTCCGCAAGCGTTTCTGGACAGTACTGCTATCGCCACCCCGTTCAGGCAAACCCCAGGTCACCACGGATCCGTCCCTGCGAACGGCAGCGAAGGCAGAACTGGTGGCCTGTGCTTCAGGGTCGTCGTTTCGAGGTAGACAGTGGGTTTAGGGTCTCGGGTTAGGGGTGTCTTTGCAAGGTAGACGGTGGGTTTAGGGTCTCGGGTTTGGGCTGCCCTATATCCTAGTCTTTTCATAGGGATCCTTTGAAGTATCTTCATCGATCCGAGCGGCTTGAAGATGTGTCACGTTTTGAAGCTGATCCTGGACGCTGCTGCTGTCACCGCCGTGGAATGCATAGCCCCACGTCCGCACATTCCCGTTGCCGAGCACGGCTGCAACGGCAACATCAGTGGTCTTTAAGAACCACACGTTTCTGGGATGCTCTCGAGACTGTTTGCTTTGGCAGTCGCCACCCAGTTCTCCATGGCCCCAGCTCACCACACTTCCATCGGACAGGATGGCTGCAAAGGCCCCGTGCGTGGCCGCGACAGAGATAGGCCTCATGTGCAATGTGAGGACATCGCCCATCCTTGGTTTGAACCCCTTAACCCCACACCGTGAACTCTCTAGCAAGGGCTTGTGCTGCTAGGGGTCCTACCACGCGAAACTCATAAAGCTCAGAACACGCAACTCCCCAACCCCAAGCCCCAAGCGCATTTCGTAAACCGATGTAACTAATCCCAACTAATCCCTAAACCCGAAACCCTAAACGATGCCAGTACTGTTCTCTTGGACTTGAAGAGATCCCTAAACCCTAAACCCTAAACCATAAACCCTGTATGGTTCTTATCTGCATAATCTGTGGGAAAGCCAAAATCACGAGACCCTAAAACTCGCACACCACGTTCTAGGCATCTGCACTCTAGAATTTATAATCTATACTATATACATTCTTGTTTTCCCCAACTCCCATGGTTTCTATATATATATATATGTATATATATATATATATGTACAAGTCCGTAAAGAGGTAGGCTGTTTGGGGTTAAGGTAAGCTCTAAAATCCAAACCCATCGCTGGAGACCCACACTGCGTTTCCAGAAAAGTGTCTGCAGACCTGCTTCGCACACCGTCTGGGGTCCCTGACAGATGCAAAAGGCAGAACAAATCCGAAGAACACGGTGCGAGAAAGACATAGCGAACGACAGACACACAAAGAGAGAGAGAGAGAGAGAGAAAACAAGAGAGAGACAGACAGAGAAAGAGCGAGAGGGTGAGTGAGCGAGCGCGAGAGGGAGAGGGAGAGAGGTGGCAAGAAAGGGAAGGAGACCTACGTAGAGTGAGAGAGAGGAAGAGAGAGATCGAGCAAGAAGGGGTCAGGGATGGACAGACAGAAAGAGAGTGAGAGAGAGAGAGAGAGCGAGAGCGAAAGCGAGATACTGCGAGAGAAAAGAAAAGACGGAGAAAAGACGGAGAAGGGACAAGCAGGACAGATACATACATAAACTCCAACACACGTGTAAGGCGCTTTAACTTTAAACGCACTTTTCTCAAGTGGCATGATGTATTGGACATCTCGGCCTACTTCCTAAACCCTATATACATACCCTACCCCCCCCCCCCTCCCGCACACCCGATCGCAACACTCCACCATGCTCGAGGCTTCTCGAGCCTCGAGCAAGCGGCCCGAAGAGTGGAGCAAGCTGCCCCGAATGCCCAACGCATTCCCTGCATGCTGCTTCAACCTCGAAAGCACCGCTGCTTTTTTGGCGGTGTTGGCTTCAAGGGTAACCGTGACCATGTTTGTGCAATGCAAGCAAACCATGTGAGGGCAGCAAAGCAGCGTTTTCTAGGTTCTTGCGCCCGGCATCCTTTACCGTTCTCCCAGAACGACACGGAGGATGTTCGAAATGAGAGTTTATAGGATCTGGTTGCAGGTACCTCAGTTGAATGGTGCTGTATTCTACGGCCCATAAATAGAGGATCCACCCATGCTTCAAGCCTAATGAACCCTATCCACCAGTGGCTAAGTCGCTCATCCAGTGAGGCAGTAGTTGGCACCTCGACGTTGGCCTTCCTGCCACACTGATAAAGTTGTGGCGGGGCTACTGTAAGGCTGAGCAAACTTTCCAAGAGCAACCATTGTGCTCTATCAGTACCGTCTCTGCAACGGCTACTCTTGTCAAACTGATCAGTTGATTTCGCATTCATGCACTGGGACACTTCAGTACGTCTGCGTCCTGCCGCTCATGAGAACGACGGCCACAGCGACGGACGCCATGGCTTGGAAGGCGAGGTGCCCGCAACCACAAGGTTTGGGCCATGGATGCCTTCGGGTGTCGAGGCTGCCGTGCTCTTTGGCGCTCGGTAGCCCAAAACGTAAAAAAGGGTCTCCACCGTCAACCCACTCTAACTTTCGCTTGCAGGCATTAGACGCACCCTCCAGGGTTTCAGTTCGTTCCGGGGCTTCACGATACTGGGGTGCCCAACTGTACGGTCATCCATGCGTACAGCTGCAGAAAGGGTGATGGCTACTGCAGCAACAACACCTACGACCGAGCTTGTAAATGACAACAGATACGAGACGTGCCGGCATCGAGTGATATTAATAGAGACCCTACTCTAGCAACTGCATCCAGCGCAGCACCGCTAATGTATGGTGATTCGAAATGGCAATAACAAAAAAGCCATGTCTGATTCATGCGCATGGTGCCCCAGCGTAGCACCCTCACCCCTAAGCCTGTATACTGAGTGCGGCGACACAACAGCAATATAGAGGACGGAATAGGTAGTACTAGTCTTCCCCTCTCGTCCCGATGTATTATCTGTGTACTACCCAAAACCCTATTCGCCCGCTATAGTACTTTGGGTTTTGGTTTGGGTTTAGGGTTTAGGGATGCAGGTTTAGGGATTCGGGATCAGCAATATTCCTTCCCAACTCCATGGCTCAAGGTCCCCACTTCGTTCGAGGGCAACAGGAGCCTGGCGGTACGAGGCTTGCCTTACTGTCTGGGGTTTAGGGCTCACGGCCCTAAACCTTATACGCCCTGCCAACATCCCCCCAACTACACCTTCATTGTTTCAGACAAAGTACCCACTGTTGAAGGACCATCTGGCGTCTACTAAAGGGTGCTTGGTGTGCTGCTGAAGCCTGAACATGAAACACTATTCCTGAAACCTGAAACTATAAGGTCCTTAATTAATATTGTTTTCAAGATGTTCGAGGTGCATCGCTTAGTGAGCTCTCAGGGTAAGGGGGCTCAGAAGGGTCAACAAAAGCAATTCGGGGACTGGGGTTTAGGGTTTAGGGTTCGGGGGTTAGGGATTAGGGCTACCAGCTTATGAATTATCGAAAGCCTGGCTTGAGCAGCTCCAGACTTCGGGTGTACCAAGAATCTAAGGTTGAATCCATGGGCCCCTAGTATGGGCCCTTAACCCTGGGATCCTTATATACCTACTATATACCCTTTATGTACCCTTCAGGGTCCCTAGACAGGCCTAAGGGTCCATATTAGGGGCCCATACTTCTAACCTTAGAGAACTATAGGGTCCTCGTGCTATGAGGCCACCCAGCTTTTAAGAATGGAGCGTTGTAGGGTTCAGAGATGGAAGGTTTGAGTCTTAGTGGTTGCAGCCTGGAGTGATAAAGGTTTCGGGCTGAAGTGCATCAAGGTTGATGAACTTGGGGTTTAGGGCTTAGGGTTTAGGGTCCGTTTATATAGGTAGGATATAAAATCAGAGGTAGCAACGATGGTCCCATGATGTCCCATGTAAGGTTCTGCCATTCCTTCTAGTAGCCTCTACGGCATGTCCAGGTAGTGAGCTAAGTGCAAGAATCGGGTCATACACAGATGTGCGTAACGCTTTGTATATCGGGATACTATCGCTATACTATTTTGGGGATTCCTGATTATAGTTATAATACAATATACCCCAAAACCCTATTCTGATTATTAAGGCCCCTACATTATATTAAGTGTTGTTTGTCGGGCTTGGGTCTAGGGGTAGGTGTCAGGAACATCGTCCTGTCTACTGCACCGCTGTTTAGGCCGTAATTGAGGCCTGGGGCGACACTTTATGCATTCAGAGAGGACTGTTGCGTGGAATGGAAACTGCGGGTTTGTACCTGTTCAGTCCCCTCTCTTCCAGATGCATGAGGGTTAAGGGACAGAAGATTGAGTGTATTACAGAACTCAGGGGACAAACAACCGATATCAGAGCTCTGGGACGAGAGCTTAGGCTTGGAGACTTCAGCTCGATAGACTTATGTGGGTGGTTGTCAAAGTTATGGTCCCTTTTTGGGTCCTTATTATAATACGGCACCTATTATTTAGGGTACCCCAAAAGGGACCATAATTTTGACAACCACCCATGGGCGCTGTTCAATATTATTGTTCCTGGAGTTGACCTAAATGCGGCAGTAGTTGCGTGACGCCTCGTTTGGAAGAGAGAAACGATACCATTACAGAACTCCATGTTTGAACTTCTCGATTGCAAAACTGTGAAGTGTTGCTAGCGCGGGCCGCATCTGTGGTGTTTGGAATGCTGGTTCAGGGCAAGTCTTGATGATTGGAAAAAGCTTCGGGCCCGTGAAGTAAAGGTTTGGGAATCAAATATGATTTCACGAAGCGCGCTGACGACCTCGGACTTTTCCCGAACTCTCAGGATGTTTCTTCTTTCGAACAGACGCTCTCACGCCATCTGCGGATTTGGCCAAAGTTCGCATGAGGCAGTGGAGAAAGAGAAAGGTGGTCCAGGAGCTGAAAGCTCACACCAGTAATTCCTGCAGCTCCAGCTCGCAAGTAAAGGAGT